CCCCCCCCCCCCCCCCCCCCCCCCACTCCTCCATGCATGATGTGCGAGACAGGAAACTAAATGGGAACAAATCCATTTCCTATGGGGAAATCCCAAACGGGGAATTGACCGTTCGGGGAATTTGTCATTCGGGGATCTGTCCTGTCGGGGAATTGACCGGGAACCGTATAAATCCGCCTTTTTTTCGTGAATTATACCTTTCCAAAAAAAAAAGAGTGGTGCAGACAAGGAAAGGAGAAGCCATTCGCCCCTCACAGATCCATGGCCCCAAGACAGTCTGTCCTTTCTCCGCTCCTTTCTCACAATGCCTGACCCTGTCTCGAGTGAGGCTTAGGATCCCGGGCTATTTTCTTTACCCACCTCTCAGGTTTATTTTGGAATGGTATGTTACAAAAAAAAAGTCCAGTAGGAGCATCGACATGATCAATGAGAGTGCCCCCTCATCCGTATTCTGAGAGAAACTCGTTTTCACCGTGAATCGAATAAGAGCCAGGGAATGCGATTTCCTCACGTCAGTCATCGAAGATGGGGTTCTATTTCCGGCCGAAGAATGGCGACTGGTGCAGTGAGAGACACATGCACAGGGTGGGCCAAAAAACAGTTCACCCTGTTTCGTACGATTGATTCCACCGTATTAATTAAGATGCACGCACACAACTTGGAAGATTATGAGTACCGCTCATCCTCGGTTAAATGCCCTTCATATAAGAAAAATACAACGAATATCTCTTGCACAATATGTATTTTTTTTTATAGGGCAAGCTAGAAAATCGTAGTTGCGCGCATTGTTGGCATGCTAGTATAAATATTCTTATTTCTTTTTTTTTTCCAAGAAGAGTTCTTGAATGGCGCTGACCCGAATGCCGGAACCTCATTCAGGCAAGATAAAAAAAAGGTCTTTAAGGTAAAGAGCTCTTCTTACCCCATGGTAGTCCATCGATTCTTAGAGAAACGTTGATTAATGGAGGCCGCAGCACTTGGGCCCCAGACGGCAGCAAGCAGCGAGACCGCTCCTGCTTCGACCAGCGTTTTCCCCAGCCACTGCTGCGAAAGATTGTTGTCTGGGGTTTTCAACCTCGCGTCGCAAAAATATAATTGTGCAAAAACTATTGTCGTATTTCCCTTAAATAAGGCACATTATATCAGAGTGGTACTTGTGATCTTCCATGTTGCATGAGCGTGTCTTAATTAGTAAGGACGTAGGAAAATCAAACGGAAAAGGGTGACCTTTTTGTGGCCCACCCTGTATGTGTCTTTCATAAGTACCCTTTTCAGAAGAAGAGGTCCTCGTGGATAAGGAGAGAGGGAGAAACGAGACTCTGTTTAAGTTTTGCAGGCTCCAACTCGCGTTTGTACGGCTCATGCCTGAAGACGATCGAGCAGGCTTTTTCAGGGTTGCAGGCAATCAGGGTGAGCCTGGGTGGACAAGGGGTTGGATAGGGAAAATAATATTTGGCCTGTTTCGTGCATTCCTTTCGCTGTCACGGGCTTCTGATTTCTGAAGATGGGCAGAACTGCCACACTCTGGCTTGTCCAGGTTTTTACGTAGCGGAGATCTGGCTTTCCAATGAGGAATGCTCTTCGTGTCTTAACAGAGATGTGCGACCCCCTCAACGAAAGCTTCATGGAGATTGAAGTGGTGAAACCCGGACGAATCGAGAACGAGACCTACTCCACCGGCGTGAAGCTGATGGTGAACTGCACCCGCGGCTACGTGTCCAACTTGGAGCAGCTGAACCTCGTCAAGTGCGTCCGCGGGAAGTGGAAGCCGCGGAAACCGGAATGCCATCCGAGTACGTCGGTCGCCGGTCGTCGGTTGTCAGGCGCTGGTCGCCGGTCGTCTGTGCGTAGTGACCGGGGGTGGGTTCTGGTTTGCAGTGCCGTGCCGGGTCCCGGGAGCCATCGACGGGCGGTTCAGCAATAGCAGCAACGGGGAGAATCTGGCGGGGGGGAAGACCATTCCGCACGGGGAGACGATCAGATTCAGTTGTCATCGCGGCTACAGTATTCATGGGAACGACGAGCAGAGGTGCTGGTATGGAGAATGGGCCTCCCGGAAACCGGATTGCATACCAGGTCGGTGTCCGAGGGGGATCTCGACGACTGCATCCCTCGATGCCTGTTCGAACGAAGTAACGTTTCCGTTTGCCTTCTAGAACCATGCGAACTCCCCGAAATCGAAGAGGGAGAATACCAGGGGCTGTACCGAGCGAGACAGTCCATCGCCCACGGCACCACGATCAAGTACCAATGCCAGTCCCCCTATTCCGGGATGGAGGAGTCGCGATCCGCCGCGTGCTACCTGGGCATGCTGGGCCCGCAGTACCCGAGCTGTTCCACGCAGCGCGACGAGAGAGCCGGCAAGAGTGAGTCGCCTTCAGCTTAGGAGCGTCGGGATATGAATATGCAAAACGCGTCGGGTGGAGATGTTTGAAATAATAAAAAATGGGGGAGCGATCCAGCTGTAAAAGTAAGTGGACAGTAGATCGACTTGCTCCCTCCAAAAATGTTTCAACTTATCTTTAGAGGAGTTGGGTGAATATCTAACTATACTCCTTCAGTCGCAGTGCGTCCGATCGGGAAATGCCATTAGATCCGGTATGTAATCAATTTACGATATCTGCATCGATAGATTCATTCATGAGACACTCGTACTCAAGCATAGTGGATTGCAGGATCGACCTAGAAATAGTCGCAGTATGGTAACTATGGCAACTAATAGACAGAAAGTAATTCGTGACTCACTCGTGAGGCAACCGTTGCGTGTTGACCTTTTTCATTCTTTTCGTGTCAGATAAATTATTTATCACTAGATGGCACAATATGGCCTTCTCGAACATCTTGTCGATACCCTTAGCGAGTTCCTACCGATATCTCACATTTCAGCTTGGGGGGGGGGGGGCAAAAGGAAAACCATACGCGACGAACGAGTTAAGCCAGAGCTCGACTTGGCCGGTGAAAACGGGCCGAAATGCCCCTGAAAAAGTTGAAATCCCGAACCGGCCTGGGATCCGGAGTCCGAAAGGGAGGCATCGGGCGAAGCGGCGCCCACTTCGATGGCTTGATTGAATAATGGGCAACGGTTTGGCCCATTGATTCCCATCCTCATGAAAGTTGCATGTGGGAGCATCCACCCTCTGCCCCCCCTCCTGCCCCCCCCGTCTTCATCTTATTGTCTTCTCGCTATCTGGCCCCCATCTCGGCTGCCATACTGCATATCGCGCTTCCATGGGGATTGACACTCTGGCAATGAATTCGGATTGGATCGTCTCCTTGTCGTATTGGTCCTCGGGAATATCTTAGCTGACGTATTCGTGTACGATTCAGCGGTTCTTATCTGGCCTATTGAGACGATGAAGTCCTGGGAGATTCAAGTCCCGGGCGACCGATCGCCTACGTTAACGAAGATAAACCTCCGAGTGCCTTTGCCAATAGGTGAAGCAGGAATGAGGTTTAATATCGGCGCACTCATTCATCATGGCGTCCATTGACGGGTGCCAAGCCGACACGTTCCGTCATCTTCAATCACGGTGTCGCTTTTATTGCCGGGGCTCTATTATCCACGGATCGGAAGGCCGAGATCGAGACTCAAACACGGATGGATTCGCAGTCTTTTCCTCGAGTCGGAGCCTTTTTTTTTTGTGCATCGATCTTGGATCTAGGCAGAAGAGAATGGGTCCCCGACCTTGTGTACAGGTCCCAACGGGTTCCATTCGATCGATTTCTAGGACGAGAGGGATCTTTCCATCGAACGCGCTATCCAATATTCATGTGCATCCGATATGACTTGTGTATGCTCTTACTGAAGAAGCGAAGGGGCCCGGTCTTCCGTTTCGGCCTAGGGGGATTCCCCCTGGGAGGATTCGGAAGTGGGCACGTAGAGGAGGGACGTCGTCTGGGGACTGGGAGTCATTTATGCCGAGGCTGGAGATGAGCGCAGAGGGAGGTCAGAGGAGGACCCAGGCCCTTGCCCTCGATCCAGCCTCATCGGCGTTGATGGCGTTGGAGAATTCGGGAAAGTGCGGACGAAACTGGGAGGAGATTCATTTCCGTTCCCGTTCTCGCTGGCGGGAAAATCAGTTTGTGAAATTTCCGGCCTGGGAAGTCGAGGGGGAAAGGGGCGGGGGAGGGGAGGGGGAGGGGGGGAGGAGGGGGGGAGGGGGAGACATGATTAGGACGATCACCCCCCCCCCCCCCCCCCCCCCCGACATCAACGGATGCTTGACGTAAACACACTGCACTAGGCGAAATCCATGCGGACCTGGCAGCGGGAGAGAGATCTCGGTTGCGACGATGCATCTTGAGCGAGGCACTAAATCCAAGAATATCTCTTTCGCGTTAGCTTAAAACAGATAAGTTGGCGAAGTTCCAGGAGAATCGGCGCGCCTACCGATCACTCGATAGGAAAGACTTTCTCATATCGGACCGACTGATTCACCCTCTCGGTCCTGCACGCATCGGATGCTGTCGGCAGACTTGCTCGCCTTTTTTTTTTTTGGGTGCAGGCATCCGTAACGTCGATGGGCTTCGACTCGAGCACGAGCGGGAGGCCTCTGCCTCCTGCCCCATCTCACGTCCGTCTCCACGGACGCGAGATGAGGCAGGAGGCGGTTGGTGGCTTGGCTCTCGCGGAACGGGGCCGGGAGGACGTGTTTCCTGGGACTCGGGGCTCTTGGTGGTTCGACGAGGGACTGAAGCTCTCGTCGGTTCTGCAGCGGGTGAAGTGGAAAGGTTCCCGGGGGATATATTTGAGACGTAAAATCACGATAACGAAGAGCGCTTCGAAAGCTTTTGAGCCGCTGCTAATATGAATCGCATCTGAAGATTGTAGTCTAACGTAGGGCCGAGAGATTTTCGAGCTTCCCGGTGCAACTAATCACGAGCTGCAAGTCCCCCGTCGATTGATTTTTCGCACATCTGCATCGCATTCGAGCCTGGATGGAAGCAGAACGCGTTCTCCGTCCATTCGGGGCTGGGACCGGCCGGTCCCCAGACGGCCATGCCCTCGCACTGTTTACCCTTCCATTCCACATAATGGACCCGGAACGGGGCCGGGTACACATCGTCACCCGACGTCGTCCCAAGGGTGGAATTTGCCCCTCTCGGGATCCTAATGGAAACTTTCGCTCCTCGTAACACCGACAGAGAGAGAGAGAGAGAGACACGGGGAGGAGGAGGAGGAGGCTCTCCATCTCTTTTTGCTTCATAGGCACCTCGAGCTTCATTGAAAATCAATGCGCTCCCCATGGAGAGACACCGCGGGTCTGGCCCTTTGGCATTCAAATACCCTTGTTATTATTCAATGCCTCCCGCCGGAACGAGTGTATGCCTTTCCGCGTTCGTTCCGCGGCGGCCCCCGGGGCGTTGCGGATCCCCGGGGGGACCCCGAGAAACCCGGAGCGCGTAATCGGTGAGATCGGTTTCGCCCGCTGTTGCGAATGGCGGAAACACTCAATCTGTAAGCTGCGAATAATGGATCGATGAAATTTAAGTACAGTGGCGGGTCCCTTAGTGGTTTGCCCTTAACCAATTCACTAAGAGTTTCGTATAAAAGAAAAGGTGATCGTGTAAGCCTTAAACTCTACTCCAGTTTTGGTTAAACTCCAGTTAAACCCCTCTAACCTGCAGCAGTTATCGAAACCGAAACAACTTCGGAAGTTCGTACCCACCGCCGCATAAGCCTAGACCCACCCCCACCCCCGTTCCCCGAGCTGCAAGCGCGAAATGAACCACGATCGTCGTCGACAGGATCCTGGCCCTGGCAAGGGAGCGGCGGGCCGTCGTGCAGTCCCCCGGCGAGGGTGGCCGGCTCCCTCGTCTACAAGGATGGACGACCTCTCAAGGAGGAGGAGCGCCAGTATGTTCTTTTCCCTTCTATGATCGTATTTTTTTAGTACCCTACTTAGCAGGCACTCAACCCTCGATAGAGCGCCACTCCCTCTCATCGCCTACCGTTTCCTGCGGACTAATCCTCATAAGTCCATATTAGGCAATCCCTCGTGCCTGTCGTCATCCTCCCACGCGATTATTTATAGAAACACGATATCGTCCACGTGAGTCCTCGGTCTTGCACCGAGCAGCATCGCTGCATCAAACCTTGTCCTGTATTATTATGCTCAAGGGTCTGTCCACGAGAAGTGGGTCCAAGGATTTTAGCTGGAAATTCTCCTAAATATGCAAATATTACTTTCGCTACAGACGTTCATCGTCTCTTTTCCCAGAAAACACGAACGAAAGAGAATATTACATTGAAAAATGAAGGAATTACTCACGATCATGTTATATTATTCATACCACCCTCACGATACCCAAATATGCGATGAAAATGCAAATCTGGGAGAGACCGAATTGGACTAATGGAGCAGATGCCAGCACGGGTTTCCCATGATCATTTCCAAATTCGGCTCAGGTGGGAAGAGTAGATGTCAATTGTTCGCATTCGAATGATACCTTCAAAACAAAATCGAAAGGGACACGTGCCGACTTCTCGTTTCAAAACACACTTTCAGGACGTGTCGCGTGACGTCACGAAATAGGCTTCCTTTCTGTTTCAAGTGTTGTAAACTTAGGGTGGCTGACACTAATTCCAGGCTTTCGTTCAATCTACAGAATGAACACGAATTTAAATTATTAGGGCCGCTCGATGACAGATATGTGGACATTAGAGCAAGTGACTTTAACTTGAGGGTTCACGAAATGTAACGAAATGTCACGAAATGCACATAGAAAAGTGCACATCGTCGCACTTTGCACCTCTAACAAAGGAGAGAAAGCAAGACTTTGGATTATGGAATTTTCAGCTCCTACCCAAAGCATATTGTTGCAGCTTTTACATGATGATTCGTCATCCATGATGTAGTTAAATACATTTTGTACACTGAACATATCACTGCGGATATCACATCCGACACCGTGGACAGACCCTCAACTAAATACATGTCGCTGGCTGCCCACCCGAAATTGCACGACAGCGAAACCGCGGGAGATGACGCCTACCTGTGGAATGGATAGTGCATAGGAAAATGGTGAAGTCTGGCAAGAAAAGTTTCTCGTCCATCGAGTTAAACAACATTTATCGAAAGATGATACGGGAACGGTTCGCGCTAGTTCTCGGTCCCGGTCGGCAGCAGACTCGCTTCTGGTCGCATGCACGTGTCGCTGTGGGTTCGAGCGTTCATCTAGGACTTTATCTCGCGGTGCAAAGTAAAAATCATCTCGAGTCCGAGCTCGAGATTCACGGGAAAGACCATAGAAAGTCATTCTGTCATCCTAGGAGATTTGCAGCGCGCGTAAGGAGACTTTCCTCGACCACCGTCAACCTGAAGTCCCTCGTCGAAGACCTCGAGTCGAGTCGAGTCGAGTCAGATCACGTTTCGCAGCGTCTGAATTCCGTCATCGCGCGGAGACCGGCAGAGCCCGAATGGTTAATGGCACCCGCGGATGAAACGCCACGGCAGATGATGATTAATGGGGCTTGGCGATGGATGCTTTCATCTTCCTCACCTCGCTCTTCCTCACCTCCCTCGTGGGAGACGTTTCCACGCGTTCTGCTTGATTGCCATCATCGTCGTTCGCGTTAACAACCGGGGAATCCCCCCTCCCCCCTTCCTCAATCCTCTTTCCCGATGTAATTCCGTCCCGGGGTTGCGATCGGCTTAGAGCGCAGGAGGCAATCGGGGACGGCACTGTGTGGATGGGGCCGGACTGACGCTTCCGGGAGCGACGATTTTCGTCGACGACTTGGGAAGATCTCCAGGGATGATGGGCGGATGGGAATTTTTTTCTTGAGTTTTTTTCAGGAAGTCTCCTCCGCATGCAGAAAGAAAAAAAAAACAACTGGGACGGAGGGAAAAAAAAAGAAGCAGTGAATCGTAACGAAAAGAGAATTTCAACGATTCGAGGTCTCCTTTGATCGAAGAATGTTCTTCAAATTTTGATTAACCATTCATAACAGTGATTCTCCAGCTCGGAGAACCTTTTGCTCCCAGCTCAGATGCGGATTCGAAGAAGCGGGAAAATCCCAGAGGCATACAAATGAGACGGCTATTATGGGTACATGCGTCGGAATTCCAGTTCCGAGAAATTTCAGGGTTGAATCGGCCAATCAGTGGGCTCCCCAGGGGGGACGAATCGGCCCCGATATTGGGGGGGGGGAAGGAAATACGTAAGCAAACTTGATTGCGAGGGCGATCAGAGTTCTCAGCAGGTCCTGGGATTCTCCGAACTGCGTCGTTTTCGTCGATGAAAATTGGGGACGGAAATGCTGGTCTAATGAACGTTTTTGTTTCTATTTTCGGGGACCAGACGAAGAATAAAGTAGTAAAAAATTACCTATGGACTTGACAAAATTTCAAGGAATTTCTCGTTTTTCATTAGCAACTATTGTGACAAAGATTTGAAGCAGCGTTGCTTTCAGCAAATAGTAAAAATCTTCGCGACTAAAATGCGGGCGGTCCACTTCCTGAAAGCAACAGAATGGCTTGACCCCGAAGAAATTATTATAAATTATTATATATTTTTAAATAAAGCCTCCTGAAAAGAAAAAAAAAACGCTGCCGTCTTCAGGCATGCCATCGGGGTTCGATTTTGCGAGTCGCAAACTTGAACCCGATTTTTCGATGCGAAACGGTGACGCGTCGAGTTCGCCCCGTCGGATCGTATAATACTTATTATCATATTATCGTATTATCATATTATCATATTATCGTATTATCGTATTATCATATTATCGTATTATCATATTATCATATTATCGTATTATACTTCTTCTTCGGCTGGGGGCGGTCCTTCGCTGAACCTTTTCCCCGACGCCTCGCTCCTTCGTTTCCCGCCAGGTGTCTCGTTGCGAGGACATCGGGAAGTTCGCTTTCGTCGGGATCCCGAAGAGGATGTGCAGGCAGGGTCATTGGTCGGGCCACCGACCTTACTGCGATGGGCTCAATCAAGCCTACGATTTCGCCAGTGAGTGTCTGGTGCATTCTGAGAGCAGGCTCTGGTTTGTACAGGAAACATCAATGTGTGGTGACTGCCAGCGAAAGAAATCCCAAATTAACGTATATGCTAAAAGTACCAAAAGAAGAGGTACAGGAGTGGTGTACTTGGTGAGGAAAAGGAAAGCAATGCATTCAGCAAATTAATTCTGCAAAAGTTAACCCTCTCATCGTATTTTTTGTAGGCTCTTAGTTAAAATTAGCAGAAGACGAGTTTTCTCTCATTATTAGAAAACAACCAGAGAGCACCGAACCGCTTCACTTTCTGGCACTCCAGAGTTACTATTACTAGCATAATATGTATTATTTAACGGACGGATTTAATATGTATTATTTTACGTCGCAGTGGAGAAGCCGCCCACCATCCTCTTCCGCCACCAACTGGGGCCGATCGCCCAGAGCAACGACGGGAAGTTGATCGTGTACCCGGGCACCATCCTCCATCTGGAGTGCCTCTGGAAGCGGAAGTTCGGGAAGCCGGAGTGGGAGGTGAGCCACGGGCACCGGGACTACCCGGAGGGCTGGACGACGGACGAGAACCGGGACACGAACCTGGAGTATCGGCTGAGCATCTACCACGCCCAGAAGAACGACTCGGGGGTGTTCGCCTGCCGGGCGCCGAATCGGCACAAGCACAGCGTGGAGGTCGTCGTGAAGGGTGAGTGATGACCTCCCTTCCCGGTCGGATGCAATTCGCCGTTCTCCTTCGGGAGCGTCTGCATCTCGTGGGCGTTCGTTTGCGCCTCGGATCCACGGAGAAAGTTAAAGACGATCGACTGAATGCATTTAATCGGATGCCTTCGGCTGGAATGGGAAGCAGGATCCCTGAGGAAGGCAAAAACGATCAATAACTGCTTGTGTAATATACTCATCGCCAAAAAAAGAAGCACGGCCAAGAAGAGTTGGGGGATCTTGATGAAATTAGGTACACTAGCTCGCATTAGCTCACCATGAAATGGATTAGAGTTTCAAAGGTGTGGGTTTTAATCATCGCGGAGAAAACTTGGAAACAATCGTGAAATATGCCATCATCGATAGGGATTATGAGGTCATACCGACCGTCCGAAACAATGATTTCATCGATGAAACGTGGCAGGAAAACTCCTAAAGATATCCAGGAAAGTCGACTGGAGCTTCAAGGTCACGGGATGAGACAATGCCGAGAAAACTTGGCAAATGCAGGAGTAATGGGGGAAGAGGGGGGAGCGCCATTGCATGAGCCGGTTTCCCCCTTTTTTCTCTTCCCCCGGCGACTTCTCCTCGGGGCCGTTGTCGAGAGTCTGACTGCGAGGCAGTGCCGAGGAGAAATCTCTCAAGATTTTTAATGATCTTTAATGAGTTCTTGGAATTCGCGATCGATGTCGGCTAGAGAGGCATGCATCAAGTCGATGCATGCTAGACATTCCAAGATCGCCTAATTCCTTCTTGGCTAGTTTTTTTTCTGAGTGCGTGACGCCTCCCATGTGGCAGATGCACAGGTTTTCGATCGAAGCCCGCGTAACGCGAGTCATCCGGCATCTCCCCGGCGGGATTCCTTGGTACGCGATTGTCATTAGCTGATTAGCTAGCGGGTCCGCGAGGCTTGAATGTATTTATTTAAACACATTCAAGGCTAATGAAATTCTCAGAACTTCATCTGCCGAAGAAGATATTAATTGCCCTTACCGAAATCGCGTTCGCACCCACACACACTTAAACTCGTTTAGGTCAAATGCTAATTACTTAATACATTTAACATCCATCCCGGGAGGGCGGGGGAGGGGGTGGGGGTGGGGGAAATAGCTTCACAACATCGTTAAGGGCTTAGAATCTCCTCTCCCCTCCAACTCCCTCTATCCTTAATTCATGAATATGAGACGTATTATCGCCACCAACCCCCTCACATTTGGGGGGCAGTCTCTACCTTCAATGAAGCCATTCTGACCCGGCAATGCCGCCTGTCCGAGTGTCGAAGAAAGAAGGCGAAGGCTGACTCCCAATGGAGTAAGGGGGAGGGCGGGTGAAGGTGAAAGTGAAGGTGGAAGTGGAGATGAACGGGACGGCTACGCCCCGCCCTCTCGTTCTCAACCTTAGTCAGGTTTATGGAGCTATCTCGATCCGATTGATGCCGGTGGGGGGGGGAAAGAAATTCCCTAACTTGCATGCGTTTGCGTCGTTGCTTAGCGGTAGAAAGTTCCGCCCGCGCAAAGCTTGTGACGTTTCGCGATGCAAGCCTTCCCGATGATTTTCAGCGGCCTGGCGTCAGAATGATGCGCAGAAAAATTCAGTGCAGCGATGAAATTTGCTTCTCTCGTGATCAAGTTTGCCCGAGTGCCTCCGTCTTGTCTTATTCATGCCAAGAAGCAACTGCTGATATTCAATTTGTGGCTGAATCCTATAATTTGTTTCACTTAGGACATTATTCGTAGCCTTCTAGGAGGGGAAGGGGAGTTCCACAAAAGAAATCTTCCTGTGGACGTTTTTAGGTTCTCTATCAACGGGGGGATGTCCACCAACCAAGTCCTTCTGGTGGAACCCCTTGGATATTTTTTTTCTGTCCATATACAGTATGGGAATTTTTCGTCAGTGTCACTAGTTCGCCCTAGTGAAGGACAAGAGACCGGGGGGGGGGGGGACACCCCC